ATTTATTTTCTAGTGAAATTAATTTTTAGTCACAATCTTCCTAGTACTCTTTTTCAACTTCAACATCATATGGTCTTGTTGCCAACATCAACTAAATGTTGTCCCAATGGTACACCAGAACGAGTTATTTTTGACTATACGATTGTTTGGTTACCAATATTCTGAGTTGATTTTTGATGGTTGTCAGGTTATCATCATTCCTACATATGTAATTTGCATGGTGCCAGTAATTGATATCAAGCATCTGGAGTTAGAAATTATGTCGTGTCATTATATTACTAAGAGTTTTTAGAAAACTTCATTTGAATTCTTTCAGATTTGGAGACTTTGTCATTGACCTTGGGTTCCACCACAAAATTCATTAAGATAATCTACAAGTCCAATTGGCTTTTTCACAACTAGAGTTGTCAATATGGGCTAGCCCACCCCATCCGGGCTAACCCATACAAGCTTTGAAATTTGAAGGGCCAGGTCGGGCTAGCCCATTTTTGGTGTGAACCCGAAAATAGTCGTCCCAGCCTACAAGAACGTGGGCTACGAGCTTTGCCGGGCCAGCCCTCTTTTTTTAAAGTCTATTTTTTATATTTTTTTTAATTAAATTATAATTTAAAAATATTATCATAAATATTGAGAAGACAATATTACATGGTGTTAGTGTTACTACTTGTTAATCAAATCCACAAATAAAATTATCTTTATAATATTTATTAAGTTTGATTTCAGGTAAAAACATAAATAGTTAAATAGATATATTAACCTAATTGTTTTCCAATGATCATAATAAAACACAAAAACTATGACAATATTTCATAGGCTACGGCCTATGTAGTGATTCCCTAGAAATTTTTAGGGAATTTTAATTTTATGTAGTACATATTTTATAAACATAATTTGTATTTTAAATTGTAATATTTCAAACTTTAAACATATTTTGAGTTTAGACTCTTGTTATTTTTAATACTCTATTTTATTTTTATTTTTTAATTAATTTTGTATTTGGCCCATGAGCAGGCCTTATCCAAATTTCTCAAGTCCCACAAATTGACAGGCTTATTTAGGCCGGGCTAAAAAACGTTTTTCTTAAATGAGCTTCAAAAGTCATAACCCAGCCCTATAAAATTATGGGATAGGCCAGGTCGGCCCAACGGGCCTAGCCCATATTGACGGCTCTATTCACAACCCAAATTCCTATGCTTGTGGTTATCTTTTGTGTGGTCATTTTATGCACATTAAACTTTCAAAACGAATTGCTCTGCACGACTCACTAAGGAGAGATTATAGATTGGCTAAGGATAAAATTTTAGGATATGAGTGAGAATTGATGGAATCGACTTCTTTGGTCTTAGTCTAGTTAGGTTTGAAGTACTTTTCTTCTGATTTTATTTCTCTGTTTATGTGATTGTGCTTGACAAACTTCATGTTTTATTATTGCAAATGCAGTTTAGTAGAGAGAATAATGTGCTCTCAACAAAAGAAGTGCACAATCCAAAACCTGATAAGAGAGTATCAATTCTTAGAAATAAGAACTTATTTTGAACTCCATATTATTAGAAGTAGAACCTCGGAGATTGGAGAAGTTGTGCAACTGTTATCGCCAAACAATTGTTCCGTGATTTGGTCAGTCATTATGTTGCTGGACCACTTTTTTGAAAGAATGCTTTTGTAAAAGTTAATGTGACGGATATTTGTTCTGTTTCTTTTTGTGCAACTAGTTTTTTTTTTTTGGAGAAGTGCCTCAACTCTTCTGTGGATATCCAGGATGCTCTATTGAGAAAAACTGATGAAGTTACTTCAAAAATATGGTCCTCCTTTTAGGTTGATGGTTTAAAATAGTTCCTCAAGTATCAATTGAATACTTTTGGTTACCAAGCTAAACGATTGCATATTTACTTACAAGTTAGATATAAGATACCTTTTGTTGGCCTTACAAGAAAAGAAGTTAATTGTCTTTGATAGGAAGGAAAACGTTTTTTCAATTTTCTCATGTTAGATTGGTCAAAATGTTTTGGAAAGTGGATAACAAGTTACTTAAAAATGAAGAAACATGACTTTTCTAAGGAAACAAGCTCCATTAGTGATTGCAAGTTCATTGCCTCCTCCCCACCCACCCGATACCCACAACCTCTACCCCTTGATTATCCCACCCACCAACCTCACTCCCTACCCCATTCTACCCTTGTAGTGTTTTCCTAAAAGAAGTTGAATAGAATGAATGAATGAGGAGATGATGAGCAAGGTTATGTGACTTGTGAGAGTACTCCACTATGTAGAAAAGGGATAGTAATGGATAAAATTAAAGCATCGTGAGGTTCAAATACATAAGAAATTAAATACTCACCAATTAAGCAACAATGGGAATTAAAAGGTTAAGCAATCAAAGTCTCCCACATAGATAAGCTGATTTTTTCACATTTAGTAAGTCATTTCTCATTATTTCAGAAATCGATGAAGTTGGAATGACAACAGGGAAGGACAAGATAGAATTTCCAATTTGCCTATCGAAATTATCCGCCAAATTCACTTATGCATTCAAGTGAGAGATGAAGCTAGAACTAATGTTCTGTCCCACAGATGGCGAAACATTTGGCCTTCTCGTCCTGAAATTTATTTGGACGAAGTGGAGTTTGGTGCCAACTTTATAGAGTCATATGATGAAAGTGATGCACCAAATAGAAATTCCTTCTTAACATAGATGAAAATAATCCTTGGAAATTATATCTTGTCCTTCCCCTGAATATGATTTTTGAAGTTGACACACTCGTTCTTCGCGTGACAGTTGATAATTCTTCTGTTGAACCCATGGTCGAAAAATGGATTGATTTTGCCTTGAACAATAAGATTAAAAACGCCACATCATAGTTTTAAAATGATTCATGAGCGTTTTGACTTGCGCGATATTGCATTTGTAGCTGCTTCATTTGTTGATTTAAAGATCCGGTGTTGTGAGATTTCAAATTATTCTTTTTATGCTCCCTACTATAAGATCCTGCATGAAGGAAAATGATTTCAGGGATCACATTGTTGGGTGCCCGCGAATGGAAGAGCTAAGCATTGAGGATACTGCATTTTCCTCGTTTTTTATTTTCTCGTGTTAGATTGGTCAAAATGTTTTGAAAACTGTTTTTCAAAAGAACTTATTTTCCTCTAAATTTAAAAAAAAAGAAGACTTCCGTACATAAAATACTCTTTCAACCTCACCAACCCCAACTTGGGATCTGACCCATGACTTGGGACTGATGGCGACTCAGGCTGTAACCTCGACTCTAATCTCAAATTGAGATCAGAGACCTAACCTTGAGCCTGAATCTGATCTTGACCCCGAGTTGGGCTCAGGGTCAGATTGAGTTTCAACTTGAGGTTGGGTCCCTTGGGTTGAGGATCAAGTTAATGTCAGGGTCAAGGATCGTGTCTCAAGTCGGGGTGGTGGACAAGGTTAGGGTCGTGTCTCATGTCGGGGTGGGGGACAAGGTTAGGGTCGTGTCTTGGGTCGTTGGTAGGGTCAAGGCGATTTGAAGTTTGAGTTTGTGTTAAATGGTGGGATTCACGGTCCGATATCATAGTATTTATGCTTAACCATTCTAAATAAAAGAGGCAAGCTAAAATTCAAACTATTGATTTAAAGCTAAATTTTAGTAAGTAGTTCAAATTTATACAATAAAATTTGTATATGATTTTGTTTGAATTTATTTATAAAGGGGATATTCGATCCACCCAACACACATCTCTATCCTTTATATAAAAGAAAACTTATTTATCGTAATATATAGAAAAATTCAAAGTTAATGTAATAGTTTAAAATAAATAGTATTCAACACATTTTGGAGCTACATATCATACCTTCCAATTACAACAAACCAAAACACTTACATACTCCTAGAGTATAAAACATTGCACCTTTCAAATTCTAGTTTTGGATGCAAATGAACTTCATTCCCCTAGCAATCATAATGCTACTGTTGATCTTCAAATTGAAACTGATTCTATCGGAACCATGGAACTCTTGGAGAATATACATCAAACTTACAGCTCTACTATTTTGTCCTGCAAGTCAACTTTGAAGAAGTTGAGGAATTCATTGGTCCACCATAGCTTCCATTAAGGGAACAAGGTAGACGACATTTTGTCCAGATTAGGTTCCAAGCTAACACAGACCACTAATCCACTTATCCTACTAACTCCACCAGATGTAGCAAAGAAGAAACTAAAGGCATTTCAAGATGGAGTATCATCTCCTAAAATAGTAGTATGATCTACATGTAATAAGTTAGCTTGTTTTGGTAACCTATCTGTAATCGCAAGTACTAATAGCGATAATGTAATGTTAAGTACGTAACTATGGAGTATAAAATATCTCCCTTTTGTCTAAAAAAAAAAAAGGAGTTACAGATATAAGAGAAGGGTTTTAAGTCCTAAAAGAGTAAGTTGCATATATTAGCACAACGCCGTGATTAAGCGCTTAATTAGATACTAATATACAAGTAATAATTCTTTAGGTTTGATAGTTAAGTAATTATAACCATACTACCTATTGATTAACACAAAAAATAGAACATTATTATCAAATGGAATAGAATAAAATAAATAAATAATATTGAAGTTCTAAAATAACACCCTAAGCTCAATCATAGATTATATGGCGATAGGGTTCAATATTCCCGTTGCATTAATATCTTGTTGTGGTTAATTCTCTGTGTACTGAAAAAGTTACACAAGTTAATTGCTCGATCAAAAAATATTTATAATCGCTAACTAATCTACATATATTATACATGTGTTAAAACTAGCTAGGGAAACAAAAAGGGATATATATTTTTTGTGTGTTTATATATGTGACATAAAATTGAAATCAACAACACTCCTTACTCAAAACTAGTACACTTGCATCTTTAAGACGAAAAAACAAACAAAAGTAACTTAAACTAAAATTATATAGACCTTAAACTATATCACAAGAACATAGATAGAGTCATACTTGAGGAAATTAAACTTTTCTTCAATCTTCACTCCATTTCATTAACGAAAGACGATTTGGAGGTGAAATTGAAGTTAGAACAACTAGTGTTACGTGACAATAACGAAGAGCTCACACCCAATCTTGACCTGACCAAATCGAACTCAACAAAATTATCTTCCAATTGATGCACCCCTATCACAATTGGAGCCTTTGGATTTTGTCCTCCATCAACAAACGCCAAGCATGACACACCTGGTCGTGCTTCAACTACTGAATTTGTTCCAACAATAGTCCATGTAACATTTTTGTTCTGCATCACAAAATCAATGTTTGGAACATTTGTGCTCGAAGAGACATTGGAATTGAAACATAATCCGAATGGTGATATTGGATTCACTTGAGATATCCTAGAGGATTGGTTCGCGAAAAACTGAGTGAAAGTTATGAAAATATTGTGTTCAAGAGCTGTGTAAGGTGCTGTAGTACTAATCATCGCGCCACCAAAGTTTCTAGTCCTTGTTGAGATTAAAGATGAATGGTTCAATGGGACAGGCTTGTTGTTTACGCGAATTGACCTCACTGGGATGAAATATTCGCCTTGTGAACCGATGATTATTGGCGTGTAGGTTAAGTTACCTGTTTGTGTTCCATTTAATCCACTAGTCCCAAAAAAGATTGCACCATTTTTTTGTGTGGAAGAGGGCAAGCACAAGGAGAATTGACGAGGGAATCCGAAATGAGAGGCGAATTGAATTGGGAGAGAGACTGAACCATGAGCTAATCCAGCTACTCCTTGGACATTATTAGGAAAAGGACCTTGTAACAAAGATGAAGGTGAACAAGCAAAAAGGAAGTGGTGAATAGTAACTATAGGACCAAAATTTGAACCAGATTGAGTAATGGATTGAATTGAGAGAGAATCCTGAGCAACTTCGCTGGTTGCAGTTTGGCTAGTTAAAGGGTTTGTTGTTGTAACAGCACAAGTGTTGTTATGGCAACCAGGCCTAGGTGTAGTGGAAAAGCATTTGTTGCACGAATGAGAACCAAAACGAGAACATTGAGTTGAGTGGCAAAAAGGGGCTAAATAGGTTGATGAGAGGTAATTTTTTTCGCAATTTAACCATAAGAACTTGCCATTCAAGTCAATAAGCAATGGGATTGATTGCTGGGGAGTTCTTTTTGTGATGTTGGTTATGTGGAGACCTGTGGCAGAATCCTTAAAAACTGGCAAAGCAAGGCCGCCAGGTTTGAAGGGAGCACTAGTAACTTGTGATTGTGATAGGAATACAAGATTTGAGAGTGCTAAGAAAGTGAGAAGACAGTTAAAGATTGATGATGCCATGTTTAGAGAGACTGATAAGAAAAAGAGAAGCTATTACCTTCTATGGTGATGAACAAACACATATATAGTGTGGGAAGGGTCTGTAGTTTATCTTCAGTTATGGATAGAGACAATATTTGAGCTATTTTGTCATTTTTAATGGATGTCATGCTTGCTTTTGTCTCTCTTTAAATCAATGACGCTAAACAGGGGATCCTGTAAACAAGCTCAGTTTAGCATGTTACAAGACAATTCACTCTGTGAGTTGCTTTACAAGTATTTCCGCAAAACCCGTATAGTGTTGTCACAGTTATTTTGTTTGATCCTTCTCAATGACCTCCAACTGATTCATCATAACCTTATCACATCTTCCCTTCCTTAACAGTAAAAAAGTCTCCTTTTCACTTATTACATTTTCTACTGATGAGACATCCACACAAAACTTCACTATTAGCTATCTCGTTCCACAAGTTTTTTTCAGTTTCAACTTCAAAAACTTCGTTCCAATATTGTTCAAATGCCTACTATAGATCTCCTACCGGGAGAAGAAAGGAAATAATAGTGGTTTTAGTCACACAAAACAATCATAAAAGAGCGGCTGATATCAAAGGTCTAAAGTACCAATATTATAATTTGAGGCCGATAAACAGCAATTCTGACATTATCCGGGACAAAATTATCCTATTCATCTCATCATCTCATTTAAGCACATTTTCCCCTTCCTATCAGTGGAGGCTAAAGTTACAGATAAATTGCACCGAGGAAAAAATTCATCATCTGTATGTCTCTGGCAAGCGGTAACCAGTCATCACAAGTTTGTTCGCGGACATTTTCCCTGTCTTTGGCATAACGTGCCAGTGCAATGTTAGATTAAAAGCTTTACCACGGAGGTTGCTTCCCTACAACAAGGAATAAGGTACTTGTGAAAATCATGAGATGAAGAAGAAAGCAGAATAAAGCAAAATGCTTCAGAAACTAACCTGATCAACAAACCGATACTTGTTTGTGGTGTGAATCAAAAATTTTGCATGTTCCTTGGTGGGAATAATACCATCCCACAAAGATATCTGTTAGTAAAACAATCATGTCAGTAGAAGGAATCAAACCAAACTCTCATCTGGTAGGAAAACAAATTCTCAAGCAGGTGCTAAAAAATTAATGAGTTGACATATCCTTGGAGCTTCTACAGCCAGCTCCTCAAATTAGGAGAAGACAGCCCCACGAGGTTTCACTAAGCATATACTCATACTTACAGGAAAATCCTATCACTGACAACAAAGTACAGGACTGTTAATTTACAAGGAGAAGCAAAGGGTAGATATGTCGATACATACTGCTAAGCCTTACTTTCAGTTGCAATACATTTATCAGACAACGACACGAGCCTCAAATAAGATCTAACTAGTAAATGTAATACAAGGAAGATATTAATTATATGCAGTTCTCAACCAATGGAAGATAGACCTGATTTAGAGAGTTCTTTGGAGTTACATACTCAGCTGCCAAAAATACAAACACCTGCAAATTTTAACATAATTAGAATTGCACAATTGCTACAAGTAACTGTAAAGGTAATCCAACCAACAGAGATCTGACCGATCAACATATCTCTTAAAGAGTTTGAAGTTAAAACTACAAAACTTTGAATTCAAACATCTAGGAAACTTATTCCACGTAGTCTTGTTCTATTTGAACTATTCCAGTCTCTTGTTACACATGTTAGGTGACAGAATTTCAATATATGGTATATTGAAGCTGTAAGACACTCTAAATCCCGTCCTCCAAATTCTCAAGGAAAATAAAAAGGGAGGGAACTAAATACAACCAGCTTTCTCACAAGCACTGCAACAGAAATCATTTCAAGTTCATCTTAATTTTCACTAAAAAGAAAAGGTGAAAGAGGAAATACTGCACCAAGTCATTGGACTTACTGGGCAAACTTCAACCAATTGTACAAGAAGGCATAGATTTAACTATCTGACACTGCTTTATATAGTCACTAATAGCTTGGTAAATTTGTGTATTACATTCTATTTTCCAATTTCCACATCCTGTAATCCAGAGCGTTGACCGTGGCATCAACATCTAATATGACCACCTCTTCTCTCCACTCTAGTGAACTCCAGTGTTTTAGAACAGGGATGAAAAGTATACATATATTATGTCCTAGAGATTAGCTTAATTGAGAATAAGATGTATACACATCGATACATCCACACCTTCATACTTACTCTACATAGAAGAAAATCAGACCCAAGTAATAGGGTTAAAAGAGTGAAATCAAAACTATGGTGCAAATAAAGTAGACAGTAAACCTGCTTCGTATTCCACGTGAACAATGACTGTAAATCTGCCGATATGTTCAAGGTCAAACTGACCTGCATAAAAGGAAAAGTATACATGATATTCTTTCAAAAATTAAGTTCATATATAACCACTTAATCAACGATGGTAACTAGAAATCTTAACACAAGAGCAGCTACCAACTTTATGTAGATCAACAAGATAAAGAAAATAAACTGACACCTTAGGCAATATAATGTGCTAGCATATTATTTGATGATATTTCAATGATTAACAGATCTAAAAAAACATAAGATTGTTTTTTTATGCACATAGATATTCATGAAAATACTAATAGAAGATTGTTTTTTCTCCAGAGTTTTACTCAAAAGTTGCCTGCGGACCTTTCGCTCTAAGAGTAAGCTTAGTTAGCACTCTATTGTTGAAGTTAATATTGGAAACTTACGGGCAATTCTAACATTTAGGATAGACCAAAAAACCAATAGATTATTCTAAGAAATTGGGAATTTGTTAATAGTACTACATATAATAACTTTATCTTTACAATCTGGAACTGCAGATTTAGTTGAATGCCTCAGGGCACTCAAAGAACTCAGAAGAAGAAGAGGATCTCTAAGGAGTTAGCTGACTTAGTTCCTTTTTAATAGTATGACTGTTTTATTTGGTTGTCTTTATCTAATGAATGATGTCCAATTTACTTGTGATTTCATCAAGGAATTCGTTGATTCTTTTTCGCTGCCATATCATTTAATGCACCATCTGTATGGATTATTATATCAAAGTTTCATTCGAAAACCTTTGTTTTTTGTTGGGTTTACACGGTGACCATGTTTGATCCCTGTGAATTTGAGTGGTGAAGAAAGTCATAACTCATAACTTTTATTAGTATTTTCAAGAACAATGTGATATCATGGGGGTTTAGAGAAAACTAGTTCAAACCTTAATTAACAATTCATCATTATTTTTCACAAGTTAGTTTTAAATCAGACTAAAACAATTTACAATTTTCAAATATTGATATATAAATACATACAGAAATATTTATATATAATATAAACACCTAATATTTAGGTTGATACTCATGCCTAACTAGGAGTATCTCCTAAATTGAAATTGAAATTGAAAAAAAGAAAAGAGATAGAGAGGGTATATAATGGAGAGAATACAATTGATAGTACAAAAGAATGTTCATACATATATGCATCAAAACTAGTTATTGAAATTGAACCGTTTAATAGTTATATTACCTCAAAACAGAAAATCTCAAGATTTTTCCATTTTCAAATGAAAAACCAGACAAATTTTACCAAGAATGCACATAGATTCCTGACTCCTCAAAGAATCCAGCAATACCCATATTCAAGAATTTGAAAATAGAAATTATTAGAAAAAAGAAAGGTCAACCCATCATACTTCAACCAGTTTTTTGCCCCGATTCCCAATCTCAGATACCAAATTCAACAAAAATTAATCCGAAACTAAAAACCCAGAAAAACCCTTCATCAAAATCGACAGATACAAAACTTTTGTCAAAGAAAATACCTCATCGTCCCCATCAGGTTTCTTCTGGAACCAATTGATATTCAACACCTGCAGAAAATCAAGCGATCAAACACATGGGTCATTTACAAAATCAACAGATCTAATTACAATCGACAAAGTTAAGAAAAGGAAAACATGAATTCAAGTAGGGTTTTTAAGGAGGTGGGTGTACTTGAACTTCAGTTGTAGGAATCGGAGTATTGAAATTGTCGGAGAAAGAAGCTATTCCACACATAAACGCAAGAATGGTGATTGCCAATGTTAACAAAGCATTAGCTCTGTACCCAAATGAATGCATCTTTACTCCCGATTTTCTTCAATTTTTGGTCTTCTAAGAAAATGGAATATGGGGAAAAGGGGCTTTTAACGCTTAAGAGTTAAGACTCACGCCTGCTCTAGTCAAATCTTCTTTTTACCCTTTTTCTCTCTCTTTTTTTTTTTGGTCTGAAATTTAATGTTTTTACCTATTTCTGCTGAGTTGTCAATTTAATATTTGATAGAACATGTCAATACTCATCTTATATTAGTAGTATTTTATTTACCGTATAAGAAATAACAATTCTTATACATAATAATATTATTAGTATTTACCAATTATATTGCATAACCAAATAAAGGACGCGTGGCACGATGACTGATTTCTGAAAAAACTCCTTGCTTTCTTTGTGGCACTAACAAAAGCAAATAGACATAGCAGTTCAACTTACACTCTGGAGAAGGAGAACTCATTGTGGTGTGTTTTCTACACGTCACTTATTGATTTCTCATTTTCGGGAAAAACATAGAGTTGTACTTTACATTTTGTATAATCTAGTTTAATAATATCCCTAATTTTTTTGTCAATTTTTCTCTGATTTTGGATTTGTACTATCATGTTTTTAGTGTTCTTGCATGTAAGAATCATCAATGAGTTGTTGCATGTGGATTTTGCATAGTAAACCTACACTGTCACTTGCCAATTTGTTGATCTAGTGTTGAAATTGTTCTAAATTGTGCTTAAATCCAGTCTAGTGAAGCAATTTTAAGTTATCTCTGTTCATCTTTTTACTCTGGTGTCAAAACAGATAGGCAGCCTAAACTATATTATTGGAAAATGCAAGTATGCTCTGGTGCATTTACTTAAAAAGGCTCCCCTTTTATGTACAGAATCTAAATTACTAATCCTTTGTGTGTCTTTGTCGTCCTAACCATCAGCTCATTCTTGATTTCAACCTTCCGTTGGCGAATTCTATCTATGGTAATAGGCAGTAAAAACTCCATATAATTGATCTTTTAAGCTCGCTTCAAGCTATAATGACATATCATCAATCTTGGGGTAAACAACCTCTATTGCTTATGTTTACTTTTTTTCACTACTTACTGTCTTCATTTTATATGTTTCAACCGAGTTTTTAACTTAAGGTAAGTCTAGAGTGCAATATTTTAATCTGTTTCATTTCATCTGAAACAGATTAATCACAGAGTTCTTACTCTTTCCATCGAGCATGGACAACAACTTCACGGGATTGGTTCCAACGGATGATCAGTTTTTCCTCCTTTACTTTATCATTGGAACCTACTTTGGACCAGATCTCCTGGTAGAATATCCCAAAAGGTCAGTTTTGCAAAGAAAAGGTCTAGGCCTACCTCCATACAGTTCCAATCAACTAGCTGGTTCATGCCTAAGAA